CCCGCGCGCGCGCCGAGCGCGCCGCGCGCGCCGCGGCGGTCAAGATCGCCAAGCGCCTCAAGGCGAAGTTCAGCAGGGCAGTTGCCGTGATTGGCACCCAGCGCGGCCGCGACGCCGACCTGCGGGCGTCCCTGGAGGCCGCACGCCTGGCGGCCAGCGAGGCCGAGGCCAGGGCCAAGGCGGCGGCGGAGGAGGCCGGGCGGCTGGCGGCGCTCGCTGCGCAGCCGCTGCTGCCGGCGTCGTGGCGCGAGTCGGCGCGGCTGGAGCGCGCCTGCAGCGCGCGTGGCGGCCGGCTCGCCCGCAGCAGCACCGGCAGCAGCAGCAGCGGCGGCAGCGGCGTGCCTGGCACGCCGGCGGTGGCGGCGGGCTGTGCCCCGCGCCGCCTTAGCTTTGATAGGAGCAGCAGTGGTGGCAGCCGCTGCTGGGGCAGCGGAACCGGCGCCGGCCTGCCCGTGCCGGGGACGGACCTTGTCCTGGGAGGGTCGGGCTGCGGCGGTGCTCTCGCCGCTCATCGTCATTTCCCGCGGGTGGAGGCGGCGGCAGCGGCGGCGCCCCTCGGGCCCACCCCAGCCCGCACCAAGCGTGGCAAGGGCGGCGGCGCATTTGGGAAGTTTGGTGCTTTCATGAAAAGCGTGTTTGGCTGCGTGCCACACGCATGAGCAGTGCATGCTGCCCCACATGCACACGATGCAGCCGTCGACAAACCTAGTAGTTGGCTGATTTGCTGTGCATGAGGGTGGGGGTGGCAGGGATTTCGCATTGTTCTGGCACCTTCCACGCACCCACGTTGAAGCGCAATCGACGCGCGCCGTGGGGAGGGGCTGGCCGGTTCATGCACTGAAGCGGGAGAGTCGTGTGGGCTGTGTGGGGGCTTTCGACCACGCAGCAGTGCATCGCGCCGCGCGACGAGGGGCAGGGGGTAGGGGGCAGGGGTGTGTCAATGCTGAGTCAGCTGTTTCCTTTGGAGCTCAAGGTTCCGCAACACCATGACCATACTTGCATGATGATCGCTTGACTTGTCAGATTGTGCGTATTACTGTACTGATGAGGGGCTCTCTCTCCCAAGTCTCTGTGTGTGCGTTTCCGCCCACATGCGAACCCCCGCCGCTGACCTGCATCTGGCGTGGTTGTGCGTGGCCCGCACTGAGCATTTAGCATCTGGCCCGTCTGTGTGTCAGAGAAGAGTCATTGCAGTGTTGTATATCAACAAAAAAACCAGCCATAGACATGTGCAAGCGTGGGCTTTGTAGGTCAGCCGACATCAGCAAATGCGTGGACCAGTCAGGAACATGCACCAGTGCACGCATCGTCTCTACCTGCCCTCTCTTCCAAACAAAGCTCGCCGTCAACAGGCCCCAAAGCCATCCCCAGCCTCCCTCGCGTGCAAGCTCCACGCAAACTGCCATGATCACTTACAGTATGCACTGCCGCTCGGCGTGCTGCAGTAAAGTCAGGAAGTTCATCGTCACAATCAACTCGTGAATGTGTTGGCACGCACCGCACACATTCAAAGCCTGCCCGTTCGTGTGCAATCAGGTACCGGTAGCATGCTCTTGCTGACGCGAAGGCCGCCGCGTGCAGCTTCCACTGCCTGCAGGGTGGAGGGAGCCATCCGTCGCATCAAAATGGCTTTGCGGTATCTGTTGTTTGGGAGGCTACTCCAATGCGCTTCAAAGCTGTGCCCACGCAGTACAGCCAGCAACATTTGAAATTTGAACTCATCCCGGAGATCACCAAGTGCGTTCTCCCCATCGTTCGATCAGCGTTGAGCAGCATCGCTCACGAAACCATGAATGTGGATGCATCCGCCAGTGGCCGCCATGAGGCGGACCTCATGGCGGCGCAGATCCCGCAAGGCATGGCGCCAAATGGGCAGGAGCAGGAGCAGCAGCAGCAGCAGCAGCAGCAGCAGCAGCCGCAGCATAAGCAGCAGCAGGAACAGAAGCAGCATTCCCAAGCATCAGGCGTGGCTAGGCAGCCGCTGCAGCCGTTGCAGCTCGCCTCTGCTGGCACCGCCGGGCCCGCGCCCAAAGCTAACACTGCGGGCACCACGCTGCAGAGCGGCTGCCCCAAAAGCGCAGTCGCCGCCACCGCTGATGTCATCGTAATATCAGACGCCAGCGAGGACGACGACGACGCGCAGCCGCAGCGGCCGCAGCTGCAGCAGCGCGGCGTACGGCAGAGTGAGGGGCCGCCGGAGGGCCTCGCTGGCGGGCGGGAGGTGGTGGTGCTGGATGGGGAGAGCTCGGAAGACGAGCAGGCACCGCCAGCAGAGGGGCAGGAACAAGGAGTTGTGGAGGCACAGCAGAGGGGAGGGGCGGCAGAGCAACTGCGTGGGGCGGGTTCGGAGGAGGCGGCCGAGGGGGCGGAGGAGGAGGATCAAGAGGAGGATGAGTGGGAGGAGGAGGAGGAGGAAGAGTGCGACTGGGCTCTGCAGATCTGGGAAGCCTTGCAGGTGGGAATGGCTGGCAGGGCGCCAGATGGCGCCGTATTTCTGAAATCTGGGCTCCTGCACCATCTGAATCTGGATGTGACGGCCAAAAGCTGTCTGGGAATGTGGCCAGGCCATGCCGAGTGTGGCATGCAGTAGGGTCTCACCCTTGCTGCCGTTCCGGCCGCGCCCCCTTTGCCCCAGGGGCATGGAGAGCCCGCGGGCGCCTTCGCCTGCAGTGGCCGCCTGGGGTCCTGCGGCCTGCCGGCGGCCCGCCCCTCGATCGAGGTCGCCGGGGTCGGCCGGCTGGCGCTGCCCCTGAGCGCCGAGGGCGCGGCGGCGCTCAAGGCGGCGTGCGAGCAGGCGCCCTACGGTGAGGGCAGCCTTGACAGGGGGTTTGAGGCGTGCTGGCCGGAGGGGTGCGGCAGAGCCTCCCGCAGCCGCTGCCTGTGTGCCCTGCTGCAACCTCACCCATCCCATCCACGCACAGCCCGCCGCTCTGCACCCGTCAGCGCACACGGTCGCCCGCGACGCCAGCTTTCCCCCTCCCGCCATGCCGTGTCTCACGCGGTACCCCTCCTTTTGGCGCAGGCAAGGGCATGGACACGGTGGTGGACACCACCGTGAGGGACGCGCTGCAGGTCAGCCCAGGGCAGCCAAGGGGTCGCCCTGTTTTTGGGGTGGTTGTGTTGATGTAGCGTCAGCACCCCTGTACCCCCACTTCGGCCACCTGAATCCGTTGGGGCCCCAGGCGCGGCAGCCACAGGCCGTGCCCCGCACCGCCCTTCCGCCATCGGTTCCAAGCGGCACGGCCGCTCGCATCAGTGCCAGCCTGCATGGGCCGCAGGCCGCTGCCTCGCTCTTGCCTGTCGGGGCTGCCGCCACCCCACACCAACTTCACCCCCACGCACACGCTCCGTCTGGCTGCCACCTGCGTCCTCACCCCTTCAGGTTGGGCCTGAGCAAATCACGATTGGCAAAGAGTGGGACCCCGTGCTGACGGCGCTGGTGCAGTCTGCGGCGGGCGCGATAGGCGTGGAGGGGCCGGCGCTGGGTGCGGTGGGGGCGCGGCTGTACAAGATGCTGCTTTACGAGGAGGTGGGGTGATTTGGGTTTAGGGGGTTGTGGGGTTTCAGCGGTTGCAAATGTTTTGGATTTAGGCGGGTGCGAGCATGTTGGGTTGGGGTCATGAGGTGGGAGTAGCATAAACTTAGGATGTGGTTGCATGTGCTGCCGGCCTCGCCGGTGGGTGTGCGGAGGGGACCTTGGGTGACACGTGGGCGGGAGTGTTTGTGGGGCGCACGTCCCTAGCAAGGAGCGTGCGCTCGTGTCCGATTTTTAGGCACGCCGGCTGCAACTTGTCTGCCTCTGTGCACGGTTGCACCCCACTCCCATCATTCACCCAGGGAGGCCACTTCCTGGAGCACCAGGACACGGAAAAGGAGGCCGGCCAGTTTGCCACCCTCGTGGTGCAGCTGCCCTGCGCCGGCGGCCACCGCGGCGGCGCGCTGCGCGTGCGCCACAAGGGCGCCTCCGTCAAGGTCGACTTCGAGCGGGTGCGGCGAGTGCAGCTCCCCGCCCCCTCCTCCAGCGCGGGGTCCTCCAGTTGGGGGGCAACAGGCTGCATGGACCTCCAAGCAGGGATAAGGGCGGCGTTGGTCGGTGTTGGGGCTGAACCAGGCCTGACACACTCCAAACTGCTCGTGCTGAGCGGCGCTTCCATGGACGCTCCCTACCATTTTGAACCCTGCCCCTCATCATCTCCCTCCAAAAACCATCATTTAAACCACCACGATTCAATCCAAACCCGACACAGGCCAGCCAGGAGGAAGCTGTCGAGTATGCGGCCTTCTACACCGACTGCCACCACAAGCTCTCCCCCATCACTGCCGGGCGGCGGCTGGTGCTGGTGCGGACCAGCAATCTGTTCTGGAGGCTGGGCGCGCCGCTTTTGCGGGGATCGCTGCTCCCCTCCTGCGTGGTCTCTCCACCTCCAGTGCACCTGCCCGCTGTCAGCCCTCGTGACGACGCTTGGAGTCCCTTCAGGCACTCTTAGATCTCCTCAACTGCAAAATCTGAGCGCCCTTGCCTGCTTGCTGAGCCGCGGCTGGATGAGCACACTCCGCCTATCCTCCATTTGTCAATCAATCCCCCATTCGCAGGTGTACAACCTCGTTTGGTCCGGCCCCCCCGCCGCCGCGCCCCGCCCGCGCCGCGACCCCGCCGCGTCGCAACTCCGCGCCGCCGCGCGCGCGTGGGCCGCGTCCGGCGACAGCGGCCAGCGGCTGGCGCTGCCGCTTGAGCACGTGTACACGTCTGCAAACCTGGGGTTTGACCAGCTCAAGGTCTGCTGCTGCAGGAATGATGAATTATGCTTGTCCTTATTGCTGCTTATGCAGTTGCTTGTTTGCGGCGAATACTAGTGACTGTGAATTTGATGCCGCGTTTTGCACTGCGGCTGCACGGCTGACCAACAGCTTTCCAAGAAAGCCGTCAGACCCGCCGCCCCTGCCGTTGGCCTGCCAAGCTCGTCCGCCGCCGCTCCGCCCTCGCCGTTCGCAGGGCCGCGACCGCACCGCGGCGCGGCTGCTGGCGTCGTGCCCCCAGCTCGACGCGCACCTGGCGTTGGTGACTAAGACGGTCACCGGCTCCTGCCAGCCGGAGTATGACTGCCGTTACAACAAACGGCGCTGCTACGGATACGGCCATGACTGCTATGATGAAGACGAAGACGAGGAGGACTCGGAGGACGGCCCGCACACGATGGACGAGGCGAGCGGGGGCGGGAGGGGCAAAGCACGTTGGGCCGGGCGGGGGCTGACCAGGGGCTCGCTGCGGGCGCGGCCAAGCGGTTCCCATGCGGCCGGTGTGGGCGCCAAGATTAGGGGTGGGCAGCGGCGATGCGCCGTCGCTCCGCGGCTCTGTCTGCCTGCTATTGCAGCCGGGCGCGGCGTGAGGCGCTCCGGTTTGGCGGCGACTCGCAGGTGATCGACTCGGAAGTGAGGACGATGATGTGGATCGGCCGCGACGGCACGCGTGTTGACTATGGTCAAATCAATGAGGAGGTGTGTGCAGCTACAGGGGCTGCCGGTCTGCCTGATGGGAGTCTGTCGAATGCGGAGGAATTGGCTCAGGAGGTGGAGGGTATGAGAGTAAGACTGATCCTGACTAACCACTGTTGGCATCCCCTCTTGCAGCACCAGTGTTAAGGCTGAGTACAGTGCGTTCCCTGTTCAAGTTAATGGGTCAGCCTTATCAGTCTACACACACACACACACACACACATAAACACTCCCGCATGCATCTCCGCGCCCTCCTCCCCTCCCTCCCTCCGTTTACTCTGCCCCTCTTTTGCTCTGGCCCCTCCCCCTCTCCCACTCGCCTCCCTCTCGTCTCGGCCCTCTCCCACGTGTGCATGAATGTGTGCCCCTGCCCCCTCCGCAGGCCGACTTCTACTCCGGCCCCGACGGCCCCGAGCTGTTTGACGAGGACGCCGACCCTGATGATGAGAACTATGAGGGCTACACAGGAAACGCGGGTGTGCGCACGTGCACACACACACACACACACACACACACACACACACACACACACTCACGCACGCACGCACGCACACAAACACACTCACGCACGCACACACGCGCGCACACACACACACACACACACATGCACTCACGCACACACACACACACATATCAGCACATCAGCACACCTGCACAGACGCCCATACGTACGTACAAGCGGGTCTCGCTCATGCATACACACACGCATCCACGCCCTCGCCGCACTCCTGATTCACAATCCCAGGCCCGACCGTCGAGCAGATCTACCACAGGGCTGTCCTCGTCCTCTGGCCCCGCGCCGCCAGCGCCGCCAGGGCCGCCGCCGCCAGCATGCACGAGGTGGTGGCGCTCGCCAGCACGCGCATGATGCAGGCTGCGCAGGCCGGCGCCGGCGAGCGCGGCGCCGCGCGCGAGGCGCTTGCGGAGGCGGTGGAAGGGGTGGCCTTGCTGGCAAAGCAGCACCCGCGGCGCGCGTTCCTCGGGGCTGAGCCAAGCCGCGGATTCTATGACACGTCTTGCTACGGCCTGAGCCTCGCCGGGCGGCCGTTCGTACGTCCTGCTGCGTCGGAGGCGCTCGCCGCCGCGTGGCGCCTGCTGCCCGCCGCGGCCGCCGCGGAGCCGGCGG